GTTTTTGGTTCTTAGAATAGCTACTTAGGTAAATCCATCCTAAAGATTCCCAATGACACTAAATCTTCCTTTGAAGAACTTGTAATCACTGAACAATGCTGACCACCAAACACCAGTCCATGCAAAAACTATGGCTTGGGGCTTGTCCATCAGAATTATATCCTATTACCTGACATGATGATGGATCAGGAGAAGGGTCACATTATGCAGGGCCATTACATTAGCTAGCACTCGAGAACCATATCTGGGTGTAGATTCTGTTAGGGATGTCTGGGCCAAATCCTGTGGAAATTCTAGCCCCACTGGTTAGCTCAAGAGTTGGGGTGGTCATGGACTAAGCTAAGTGTGACCTAGGAGCTTGCCATCAATAACAGGTAAAGGAACTGACAACAGCTGGACTGGTCAAGGCAGCAGCACCCAAATGTGTATCCTGAATAGGGTGTGGGGTGGGCCGGGCTGCAATGTTCACCAGCTCATACAAGGCCAAATGGAAAGCCAGACTTTCCCGGAACCTGGCCTAAAACCCAATGGCATTTATGAGAACTGGGTCTGGGAGTGGATTAAGTAGAGGAACTTGGGAAACTTCCCTGGCGTGACACAGCTCCCACTGGTGAACATGTGGTCCAGACCTGGGGGTCGGACAAGCTGGGCAAAGTAGCTCCAATAGCTGGCTAATGTGTCAATTGGTAATGGAACAGTGTATACTGGACAGGACTAAGCAAACCTTAGCCCACAAGCAAAACTAGAGACCAGGATGAAGCACAGGTCATGCCGAGCTAGGCTCTTACACCTATTGGTCTGCGTGAGCCAGGAACGCTAAGCCACAGTGTCCAAGGCAGAGGTCAGGACAGGTGAGGGGCTGAGCCAAGCTGAGTCAGAGCAACCACTGGCATGCATATGATCTATGGCTGGGAACAGGCCGAGTTTGGGAGCTAAGGGGACAACCCTAGCTGGGTTGAGGTTCCCACCAAGGGGCGCATGGGCTGGAATGGGGGCTGCATTCTGATCAAGATATGGTTGTAGTCTCCGTTGGCACTAGTGTGGACTGGGATTGGATGCACCAAGCCGGGCCAGATTCCAACACCCTCTGGTGTCCTGGAGGACCAGGGCAGATGTGAGATGGACTAGGCAAGGTCTCAAACCCATACTGAGCCATGTGTGAGCTGTATGTGGGTATGGACAAGCCATGGCTGGGCTGAAACATCCAGCAGCAAGGACCAGTTTGGGTTGAAGGCCAGTCAGGAAAAGCCACTGTTCCTGTTAGGACAGGAGGTAAACTGAGTAGGGCTGGCTCATGGACCCACTGGAATGTGCAAAATCTGGCACTGGGAGAGGTTCTGATGGAGGAGCCTGGGCAACTCCTCTGGCAGGACACAGACCCGGCAGGTAAGCGCAAGAAACATGATAGGAAACAGTCCAGAACAGGCCATGGAAAGTTACCCACTGGCATACATTTGGCATGGGTCAGGAGTAGATCAGGCTGAATCTGTCTACATCATCCACTGGCAAATCCAAGCATCAGAACAGTGTGAGTCGAGCCAGGTTCGGTTGCAACAAATACCGGTGCACAATACAGAATGCCAGGGTGTGGTTGCCTGTACTGGATGTGACCACAGCACCCAACCAGCCCGCATGAGAACCAGGAAGGGAGGGGGCGGAGCCAGCAGGGGGAATAAGGGGTAGTTCCCTTGACGGATACCTGCTCCCACTGGAGAGCATGAGCTACGATGGGGGCAGACCAGACTAAGCAGGGCTACAACTCCTGTGCGCCTCATGTGGATTAGATCAGGGAAAAGCCAGGCTGGGCTGATTATTCTTACTGGTGCAAACAAAATTAGAGCGGGTAAAGGTTGACTTGGCTTAGCCCAACAGCATCAGCTGGCAGAAGCTGGCACTGGGGGCCTAATTCTGTTAAGTCAAACCACAGAACTACCTGGAGAGTGCATAATCCGGGAGTGGGAGAGGTCTGGGAGGGGAATAGTGGACTCTTCCCTCTTGGGTTACCACCCCACAGGAGGGCATAAAACTAGGACAGGGGCTGGGGTGGCTAGACAGACATCCAACAGCATCTGTGTGGGCTGCATAGTGGAGCTGGTTAGATGGAACTAAGCTTTAATACCCATTGACATGTTTGAGAGCCGAATGGGATGTGGGACAGACTGGACTACTGCTACACATACTGGCAAACCAGGGTAGGGGGTGGGCTCAGTGGGGGTTATTGTGGGTTGCTCTGACTATGCTGCAGCTCCCACTTGTTTATGCGAGGACAGAGTATGTGCTGGGCAGAACCAGGCTGGACTGCAACACCCATTGGTTCCAGTGGAAGCCGGGGCTGAAAACAAAACCAACCCAGCGATTGCAACCACGAGCTGATCGGGGCGATGGACTGCCGGGCCCTGCACTTGCTAGCACATACAAGCATCTCGTCTGAGAACACCTCAGACAAAGTTTCTTTGGAGATCTCCCCAATTGAAATGCTGGACTCAGAACCCTAACCAAGACAAGACAGAAGACAGAACAGGTCAATCAACCATCTTAGGTATATGTTGGCAGCGAAACCCTGGGCAAACGGAGACTCTAAGATGGACTGTCAATTAGTGGATTCTTCAAAGACCCCATCCTGCTTGGAGTGGCAAGATTGGCAGCGATTCATAACTGGTGAACCATCAAAACCACTTGAGCAAGACCCTCGGAGCATGCCCTACATCCGGGACCTGGGGAGGGTGGGAAACTGGGTGGGCCTTCTCCCTTAGTTTCCCCCTTTAACATGAAGGAAACAATATGGAAATAATAGTCTTACCCACTTTCCTGTAGCCCTTGAAACTTTTTACCTTAATTAACTATGTAAAGATTGTCAAAAATATAATAAAAAAAGAAAAACGCTGATATCATCAACGCTGCTAAATGCACTTCATTATTAATTTTTATGAGTTTTATTGTTTTCTTAACAGTGATATCAAATTAATTCACATTATCTACAGAAATACATTTGGAGAAAGAACCAAAAAAAACCTAAAAATTTAAAATAAGCAGCAATACTAAGCATCAATTTCAAAGCTAAAGTAAGAAAACTAAGTTGGAGAAGTCTTGTAAAAGCTATATCAGACAGGACAAGAATGAAGTTTTTTTTCTATTTTTTAACCTCGTAGATGATATTATTTCAATAACAACATGCTATTTGTGTTTTTATGGTACTTTGAAGACACCACATAAATAATCAGAATAATACTTGTATTTTATACTACAGGACTATAGGTGCAAAGATGCAACTCATATTTAACTTGAGGCCAGAGGTGTGATAAGGACACATATGTTTTATTTGCCTACGTGCTTTTTCAAATGTCAGTTCATCAGGAAAGATCAGCCTGAGGAATTAACTGTATTTTGCAATGACAGTTGAATTGTACTTAAATAATATAGTGACTTTAGAACCACGAAGGCTATTACTCATAGGACTTTGATATTTGTATTTTTCTAAGTTCTTGGCTATCCTTCTCAGCTGATTTGATTCCTTCAATAAAATTAACTACTTAATGTCAATGAAACTTTGTTGCTAAAGTTTTCATTATACCATTCAGTATCATAAGCATTCACTGAGGGGCTATTATGGTCCAGGAACTATCACAATACAATGTAACTTGAAAAAGGGTTGGTAGTTGCTGTATTCTGAGGTAAAAAAAAAAAAAAATCAGTAGATATGAAAGTCACAAATGACCTCATTAAAACTTCAAAACTGGGCCCGGCGCGGTGGCGCAAGTGGTTAAAGGTCCTCGCCTTGCACGCCCGGGATCCCATATGGGCGCCGGTTCTAATCCCGGCAGCCCCACTTCCCTTCCAGCTCCCTGCCTGTGGCCTGGGAAAGCAGTCAAGGACGGCCCAAAGCTTTCGGACCCTGCACCCGCGTGGGAGACCCAGAAGAGGCTCCTGGCTTCGGATCAGCATAGTTTCGACCCGTTGCGCTCACTTGGGGAGTGAATCATCGGACGGAAGATCTTCCTCTCTGTCTCTCCTCTCTGTATATCCGCCTTTCCAATGAAAAAATAATAAAAATAAATCTTTAAAAAAAAAAAAAAAAAAAAAAAACTTCAAAACTTAACATTCCTATTATTTTTTTAAAAAAACACGTTTTCTTGTATGAAAACATAATGTTATATGGGATACATGTTGACCAAATGCATTCCAACCTTACTATCTCTTTCATACATTATGAACTTCAAAGAAACTAAATTTGTTTTCATTATACCCAGAAACTCCGTGATTTTTCTTTTTCAGAAAACATAAGATAGCTCTGTACATGCTGATTGCATGTGTGAGTTTTAAAAATGTTACCAGTATTGAAAAGTGAATTGTTTTATCTCACTGTCATAGTCAGGCTTTTGCAAACATGGGAAAATGGAACCAGGGTTAAAGAACAAACTCTGCAAGGTGCAAGGCGGTTTCCTGGCGAGGCGTTGCCCACGGATTTCCCCGCATTTCCCGCAGGGGAGATCCTGTTTCTGTTTCAGTCCACTGAGGCTGGACATTGAATGCAAAGTACAGGCCGAGTATCCCAACTGGGAAAAGCTCAACAATGTAAGATACTTTGAAAATCACATTTGAGTTCAAAAACTTTGAGTTGCTGAGCATTTCTGATTTCAAACATGTGAACTAAAGATCATCAGCTGTAAAGTTTATGCAAATACTCGAAAATTCAAAGCACTTATGAATCTGCTGCACTCCCCTCCCAAGCATCTCAGCTGGAACACAGTGTGCACTGGGGAGGCGTAAGTCAGGAGAGTTGCCATCTAAACAGCAGATACATACTCTGGGAGTTCTACCCCTTCAGGGTAAAATATTGCTTTTCCAATATTTGGGTACCAATATCACCGAATGACCATATTCTGCAATGATAATACATGCTGATCCCCTTGAACATTTGGTCTTAAGATCTGATACAACAAAAAATTCGGGGACAAAAGTAAGGCAACCTGTAGGCAACAAACAAAAAGACAACTACTTACTTGATATTATCAAGACAACCAGATTCAGGCTTCAGTATGGCAGTATGGTGAAACATTTTATACAAAGCAATGCCGAGGAAGATTACATTAAGCTGGAAAGCAAAAAGGGATTGTTAACGTAGCATAACTGGAGTGGAAGCAAGGCAAGTCGATCCTATTACAGACGAACTGTTCTGGGAAAACTGCTCTCATTGCACTTTCCAATGAATTGGATCATGGATGATTGCTCAAAGCTATAGGAAGGGCAAGACGCCAGTGGGGGGACTGGGCAGAGCCCTGAGTGACAAAGCACCACCAAGGCCAAACACAGACTAACACCAAATCTGCAGCCTTTGCAATCAATGGTGGAGAAAGGAATGCAACCAATCAAAGCTTGGTGTATGCCTGAGATAACCCAAAACCAAAACGAAACAATCAAGGAACAAAACAGTCATTTGGGGTGTGTTACTACTTCTCTACTCTGAACATGTCTCCCACTTCATTGTTTAGGGATGCATCTCAAATCCCACATTACAAACACAAACACTGAATCAATTATGTTTTGCATTGCTAGCTCAAAAACATGATCAAGTGTGGTTACATTTGAACGCTAGAGCAAACTAGGGTTTAAAAAAGTGGGGGCGGTGAACCCTGAGTAGTGCTGTTTTATCACTGGAAACAGGGAAAGCACAGGGTTCAAAGTGAAAAGCTTCAGGGTAAATTCCCTATAGCACAAGTACATCAACTGTGCAGAACCACAGCTGAATGGCTGAAATATTTCACAGCTCAGGGTAGCTGGACACTATGACCATCCTTTTAAAAGATGCTCTGAGGGATATGCTTGGAGTCCCTGAGCTTCACTTCCTAACCCAGCTTCCGCCTAATGCAATGGGGGAAGCATCAGAGGAAGGCCCAAGCATTAGGACCCTGCCCCCAATACCGCTGGCCGGGGCCCAAGTTGGCTGCTGGTTTCCACCGCCAGACCCTGGTTTCTGTGGGCACCTGGACACTCAAACAGCACATGGAAGACCTCTCTGTTTCTAATTTTTACTTCAAAAGAAAAATAAATTGAAAAAATTGTATTAAAATGATGTAACAACACAAGCTCATGACACTTTGCTATTCCTAAATCCAACAAATAGAAAAAGTGAAAGTTAAAAACAAACAAACAAAAAAATCCATTGAGTGGCAAAAAAGCCAAATCTGAACTGAAAACACTAGGCTGCAAGATCCGAACTGTACGGACATAAGCTGGTTAACGGTCTTTTCCTTTTTCTTCCCTTCCTCTCTTCCTCCTTCCTTCCCTTTCTTCTTTCCTTCCAATTAATTTGGGGAAAGCATGTACAGAGAAAAGGAAAAAAGATCTTCCATCCACTGATTCACCACCCCGCCCCCCCAGGTGGCTGCAATGGCTTAAAGCTAAATCTATCCAAAACCAGGAATTTTTCCCTGGTCTCCCATGGGGGTGCAGGGTCCCAAGACTTTGGGTCATCCTCTACTGCTTTCCCAGGCCACAAGAAGGGAACTAGACAGGAAGTGGAACAGTGGGGACATGAAGCAGCGCCCATATGAGATCCCCCTAGTGCAAGGCCAGTATTTAGCCCTGAACTATCTGTGCCTGACCCAATGATCTTTATTCTACTTGTGCTTACTTTATCAATGATTTTTCTATTGAAATTCAGCTGTGTGCCATGACAGAGTACTGACAAGTCCCTACCATGATCACATCCTGGCAGATGACCTTAATTCAGAGCAAATGCCTCATCCTCAGCAGATATATTATAATATCTATATGCATAATATTGCTTTGAAAAATTTCTGAATTGCAAAATATACTGGCCCCTGGGAATTCAGATAAGAAGGTATTTTATTCAGACAGGGAGTTAACATTTCAGTTAAAAAATGGTCAGTTCTATATTTTTGTAAACAGTGAAAATGGCAACTTAGTGTTAAATAAAATACATAGATCCTAATTGGAATCCTGGTGTTATGTAGCCTGCCATGGAAAAAGAAGCACAATTCCAGAATGCACGCCCAATCTGGTTGTGCCATTTTCAAGTAAGTCTTCTAAATTTTATGGTTCTCAAGATTTAGATAGGAACCCAATCTGTAACAAACAGTCAGGTGTTTCCCCACTTTCCCAAGTCTGGTCTGATTTCAATTCAAATTTTCCAAATGAAAAAGAATGGAAATAAACTACTGTTAGAGCTGTTAGAGTCATCACTGTTGACACCATTATAAAACTAAATGAGTAATGTTGGATTGAGACGACTGAGTTCCTATCCTGCATAGTTACAAACTCATCATTTCTTCTCCCGCTAGCTTTGATGAACTATTTTATAATACGTAAGTAGACTATAATGAGTGTCTAATTGCCTGAATTATGTAGGGTCAAATATGTACATGCTTTCCCCAAATTAACCTATGTAAATTAAAGATAGTGAGTGCAAGGATAGCAAAAGTTTTATTTCTTGACCTGAAAAACACACAGTTAATTAGGAGTTCTTACCATAATTATCAAGGTCGCAGGTCCTATAAAACTCCAAATGAAGTAGGTGTCAAGTCGGAGCCAGCATCTGCAGAGAAACACAAGGGAGAGAAGGCAGTCAAGGACTGGGTGTGGGACATACATCAAGAGTGAGCGAGTGACAGAGAAGAATGGGAGCTGCACAGCATTCCGCTGGGAGATAGGAAATATTACATGGCTTGTTCATTTAAATGCTGAATTATGTGCCCAATTTCTGACAGCACTATTGATGGAGTAAGATAATTAGCCCTGCAGGAAGCAGGAACAAATGGCACTGGGCCTATTCGCTAGGGCCTTCTGTGTCTGTCACGGAAACCTTAAAAAAAAAAAGAAAGAAAGAAAGAAAGAAAGAAGAGGGAGGAAGAAAAAGCCCTCCACAAAGCTATTAATTCAAGTAGCTTTAAGCTATCCTTTTCTCTCCAATTACCGTGCTACATAACCTGCCTATCAGTTGTCAAGCAAAGTGACATTTTCCTGTCAAGAAGATCTGAGGAATTCAGTACAAAGAAGAGAGAAATAAACGTGGTATCGGAAGAGTGAATTTTAACTGGGTTGGGCAGCCAATCTTTGCGAGTTCTTGAGTCTTAAAAAGTGCATTGTTACTACGCGTACTTCTAGGGTTGCAAATGCTACTTAGCATCCCATGAAGTTGATTCATGACCTAAAAGTAAATTATTAATCACTTAATTTCAGCTACATTTAATACTCCCCCAATTCTGGAAGCCTCTGGGAAATTACATTTCATTCTTCAGGCTGACAGAAAGACAAAATGGAAGTGACTACTTGCGAGAAAGATTAATGCAAATTTTGAACAAATTACATGTGATGTTAAAAATAATATCTTGAATTATTTGCCAGTTTTGCTCCATTTGAGGCACAATTAAAAGAAACCTCCAGTGGTAAACATTTGAGCTACACGGTCTACTCTGGAAAATCCGCAGGGTTTAAACAATTCTGTGCAATTACAAACATTTGACCTAAATGGAGGCAATAGGGAAATGCAAGCAAGGCATTTAAAATACCCATCAATAAAGGAGTAAATAAAAAATATATCCTATTCATATTTTTTAAATGTTTTTTTACAGAAAGGAAGAAGCTGATGTACATGAACCAACAGGATAGGGGAGCGATGACTGGTCATTTGCAGACGAAGGCGAGAAAGAGAAGAGGCCGGACACAGAGTCACCCGGCGGGCTGACCGCAGTTAGGACTTCTCCCAAAGCTGGGGGCAGAGGAGGGTCAACACCGAAGCTGTAACAGTGAGCTGCCTCCAGCAGAGTCCAGAGAGGAACAGTTGCATGAAAAGCTATAGTGGGAAGTCTACCGTCTACATGGACTTAATGCTTGGGGGGTTCCACCTATAGACACATGTAAACCTATTTCAAAACCCGTACACCTAACACAATATGTGATGTTTCTGAGGACTGCATTGATGTATGCAATTGTTTTCATGAGAAGAAAAAAAAAATCACCCATGTCATGCTAATGGTTGTAACTGACACCAGAGTGCAGAGGTCAGAAGTGTAATGCATTTTAGTCACGTTTCAGTTTAATAACTATTGCATGTCTATACATCAAAATGCTAAAAGTTTTAACACCTAAGTGCTGAGGCAGTGACTTTTATTATGCTTCTTTTTTTTTTTCCTGTAATTAGTTAGGTCCTAAAGTAATTTAAAAATTTAAATCATCTCCCAAAGTGTTTTGTTAAAATGATATTAAATTTTAGTCTTACAAAGCTGTATTTGTTTCAAAGCTGTCTCATTTTAGCAAGTTCTTTGAAAACAGGCCTTTCACTTGGTGATCTGTGAACGCAAAAATGAAACCAGAAATTAATCTTTAAGAACATTCTTCAATATCTGTTCAGTACAAGAGACGTAAATTCCCTCTGGACCTGAACACAGAGGCCACGGGAGAAACACTGAAAATTTCCTGAATAAATGGTCCCTCGGGGGGAGCTGGCCAGCTCTCCCATCTTCTGCAAGGTTGTATGGCAAGAATCCCTTTTCTAATTTGATTGCCATATGGCTACACCTGCTGGCGTTGTGGCCACATGCTTGCTCTGAGCTTTCAGTATTTCCTGCCTTCCTCAATAACTGCCTTGAAAATCCACGATATTTGTGCCCTGGCTTTAAGTTGAAGACGAGTATTATGTGGGGTGTTGTGCCCATGCCTCATGGCATTTTATAAATCTGACCACTCACCATCATCTGGATACAAGGCAAAACCACTGCTGAAGGTAGTTTCAGAATGAATTACTCATACACATGATACAGAAAGCATCGGCTATTTCATAAATCCAATAAAATACAAATCGCTGCTACTGAAGATTCAATTTATCTAAACGTCACATTTGTCCACCAGGCAATATGTAATTTGTAACCCTAGTAATTTTGATAGGCCAAACTTTCAATTTTCAAATTACTTTGATTTTTTTACTTTGATTTTTAAAATTTTTGTTTTCTAAAAGGAAATTCAATCACAAATGAATAATTATTATGTTTACAGAAGTAGCATAAGAAAAAGACAGGATTTATTGTTAAAAAACAAATGCATTATGGGCCTCTTTGACGTCACAGTGAAAGCTTTTGAGGCAGGATGTATACTGCAATTCAAGAGGGCTTGTCAGATGTCACAAACCTTAATTTTTCCTTTTTCTCATTTATTTAGTACAAGTATGTGCTGAAATTGTCTTCTGAAGCAATTTTTAAAGTAATAAAAGCTATATATACATATATGCATATATGTATATGCATGCTAAACTTTTACTGGATAAATACAAGTTCATGGTTTCAGAGTTTTATCATTGGCGCTACAGGCAGGCACCTGGCTTAGAGGTGAGGCAGGTGGCTTGCACACACCTACACACTGGACACCTTCAGGTCAAGTCCTGAACCTGTTTTCTGGTTTTTTGCTCAAGCACAACCAGCCAAGGAGTTGGTTCCCTGCCCCTGGTGGGAGACAGCTGGATGGCGCTCACAGCTTCCAGCTTTGGCTTCACACAGGACAGACACCAATGCCGACTGGGATTGACCAGTGGATGAGAGTTCATCCCTCTTTCTCTGCCTCATTTCTTTCATCTCTATTTATGTCTTTCAAATCTAATTAATTATTTAAAATTTTACAAACTACCATTAACAAGATAAATTGTTGCTCTTCTCCCACAATTACTTTCTACCAAACTAGCAAAATCTCATTATAAATTGAATAACACAGCTGTTGATATCTTTGCAAAAATGTTAATGAACTGTCCAACAAGTACCGACCACTTTCACACTTAATCAGAAATATCTGAATTGAATTAATTTCTCAAAGCAAATGATACTAATTTCTCAAGGAGAAACACACAGGCTCTTCCAAAGTCTATCCTTCTCCACTATTGAACAACTCACCAACTTATTTTTATTTGTCACTTTGAAAAGATGTGATTCAGTATTGATACAGCCAATTACCCAACATATATTAATGTTACCCATGAAGTACATCTTACACCGTTTAAAAATGCCAACAACATGGCCTGGCTCTGTAGTTCCATAGACTAACCTTCCCCTGCACGTGCCAGCATCCCATCGTGCCCTGACTGCTTCAGTTCTCATACAGCTCTCTGCTTGTGGCCAGGGAAGGCAATAGAGGACAGCTCAGGCACCTCTGACCCTGCATCCACATGGGGGACCCAGAGGTGGCTCCTTGCTCCTGACTCCTGGCTTCGTATGTGTTCAGCTCCGGCCATTGTGGTCATTTGGGGAGTGAACCAGTGGACAGAAGAACTTGATCTCTTTTTCTCTGGACATCTGCTTTCTCAATAAACTAAATCTTTAAAAATATATATAAACAACAGAATCAGAGCACATTATTTTCTGCAGTTAGCGTACTTCTGTAGTATAAAAAACATTCTTTGGAACACTTTTTTGCTGTTGGCTTAATTCACTTTTGTGAAAGCAGATGCATGACTATTAAAGTATTTTAAATTCACAGACTAGCATTGGTTTTTGCTTTATTACCTACAACACCATGAGTCAGCCTAAACTCCCCTTTGTAAGTATTACATGTAAACAATAAGCAATTTGGCTATTGTTAGACCATACAAGTTAAGTTATATCTGGTTGTTAATTAGGGTTTTTATTCCGTATAACCAACTTAGCTCTGTGATACATACTTTCTGTACCATCTACGCGGTAATATATGATTTGTATTGCTTATAATGTCAAGAGACCAATGAAAAAATAAAGAGAAACAGTCTAGAGTCTGCATTTACAAGAAGCTATAGTCAAGGATTTGGGAAATGGGCACCCTAACAGAAACATAACCACTGAACCGCGTGACCGCCCTGAACTTCTTGAAGTAGCTCTCTGAAGCGCTTTCTACTGTTGCTAGCACACATTGCGGATTTCAGTTTTTCCATGTCTTCAACATTTGTTACCGTTTGTTTTACTATCCGGGTGGAAGAAAATATGATATAAACTGATCTCTAGAATACAGATCTATGTCTCTCATGACAGCTGTAAAAGTTATAGGACCTGATGGAATGGCTCAGCTCGCTAATTCTCCCCCTGCAAAGCACTGGGGTCCCATACAGATGTCAGTCCATGTCCTGATTGCTCCATTTCACATCCAGCTCCCTGTTTGTGGCCTGGGAAAGAAGTTGAGGATGGCCCAAAACCTAAGGCCCCTGCACCCACATGGGAGACCTGGAAGAGGATCCTGCCTTCTGGCTTCAGCTCAGCTCCACTTGGGCAGTTAGAGCCACTTGGGGAGTGAACTAGTGCATGGAAGATCTTCCTATATCTCATTTTCTCTGTAAATTTGGCTTTCCAATAAAAACAAGTAAATCTTAAAAACAAAATGTTATCAGGCCTGGCACGATAGCCTAGTGGCCAATATCCTCACCTTGCATACACCAGGATCTCATACCGGCACTATGACCCAGAAGCCCCCCTTTCCATCCAACTCCCTGCTTGTAACCTGGAAGAGTAAGGAACTGGATGGTCCACAGCCTGGGGACCTGTCACCTTCATGAAAGATCCAGAGCAAGCTCCTGGCTACTGGCTTTGG